ATGGTGCAGCTCGCGCACCGCTGGCCGGGTGCGGGGCACGCTGCGGAGGGTGGAAGCTTAGAGCACAGAGAATGCATGAAATGCCAGCTGGTGCTGGGCGTTGTGCCTCCTTGCACAAGGATGGGCAAAATAGAAGCTCTAGCCGTCACCCGGGATTCTCTGAGGCCAACGTGCTGGGAACTACAAGCACATGACAGTGGGGCGATGGGCTAACGCGCCCACTGGGGGACCCTCACGGCACTGCGGGGGGGGCTCGTCCTCACCGTTCTTTTGTGCCGAGCTGCGGCGTGCCAAGCAACATGAGGCACTCTGAGCCATTGCCTGGGCACGGTTTTTCTGGTTTTGAATAGGCGATGCTAGTCGAGGAACCACTGCACCACACCGCATTCCGGGCAACTTTTTGTTTAATGCCGCCTTCTGTGGTGCGGCGATCCAGAAAAATGAGATCATACCTATACATCTATATATATATATATGTACACATTTGCGAGCACAGGCGTGCACCTAGCAGATGTCGACTGCAGATGTTCAAGGGCATGCTTTTTTCTGAGGTAGCAAATCAAATTGTACTTCGAACGACGTCGCAAGGTCTGCCGTAAGTCTTATGAGGTTTATTGGCTCAGGGTAGAGAGCAGGGAACAGAAGAGCGCATGCCCTGAGCGAATTTTTGCTCCCCCTCGTCTGCCACAGTTAATCTAGAAGAGCGCAAGGAACACAAATCAGAAAGAGCAGGCAGAATAAGAAGCTGCACACAGCAGCAAAAACTCTATTGCAAATAAGCTGTTCTGAGCAACTCCCGGCGTTCTAGAAGTCCATGTGGAGTCGCCGGCTTGAACGTCTTGCGGTCCGGTCAACTTGTTGGTGTTAGTTTTGCCTGGCAGACCTTCCTCCCCCTCCCCACCCCTTTGTCGGATTATGGGCTGCAGGGACCATCCTATGCGCCCATGCAGTCTGCGAATAGTTTCAACTTTGCTTTCAATGGCGGGTCTTTAGTTCAATTTTTGCCTACAGCTGTCAGTGGCCAGGTCGTCCAATAAAGCAGAGGAACCGAAAGCATTGGAAAGCTGAGGATGCTCTGGTTTTGAAGGGCGTGACCCTGGAGATCAAGGCAAATTGCACTACTGCCTTCGTGGGGGGCAGTGGTTCGGGCAAGCTGCTCAGCTGAAGTGGAGAAAGTTTGTGGAGGTGCTGCTGCTGGTGCTACTGCTGGCTGTGCTGGTGGCTTTTGCCCAGTTTTGGTGTTGTACGAAGGGGTGGCTGCGATGCCATCGCTGAAGGCCCATTAATTTGGGGAACCAAGTTTCGCAAAAAATCTAATTAGATTTCGTGGTTTCCCAAAAGGGGGGGCCCCAATATAGACCCCAAAATAGAAGAACCCTCATTATGGGGACCCCCAAAAGGTACCCTCAATTCGGGAAACTCCCATCTATGCCTTCATGATCGCGGGTTGCACCGGAAAAGTGGTAATCCCCGAAACAGTTTCCCTTTTTTGGGATGCTTCCGACAAATTGCACGTTCGAGCTCCAAAAGCCGGAATGCTTTATTTATTCCTTAGGCCCCTACTGTAGGGATTTCCTGCCTTGAATACAGGAGGTACGGCAAATCCATATAATCCATGGTCACAATTTTGCAAAAGAATCCTGAGAAGAAAATGCTTAAGACTTAACACGCGTGACCACACGCCACTTTGCAAGCAAGGAGCACGCTCGTGAGTCTGCTGCTGCGCTTCTATGAGCCCAAGAGTGGAACTGTTTGCTTTGATGGTGCCTCCGGCAGGTTTGTTGAACGCACAAGTAGGCAAACCTTGTGATGATGTTGGTTAACTCCGCTCTCTACACGTCTATGCGGTACCCATTGGCAAAGGCCCTTAAAGAGCAAGTCAGGTGAGTAGTAATTTATTTGGGGTTACTATGGTACCCAATATAGAGAAAGATCATATCCTCCTTTTGGAGTATAGTACTGTATTTTATATAAGGGATATTATCTTACTAGGTTCAACCACCAAAAAAACACTTCTCAAGTCAGGTACTGATGTGCGAAACCTGGAGCTCCAGTGGTTCCGGTCTAAGCTCGCTTTAGTCGAGCAGGACTGGCAGATAAGCTTCCAAGGGATATAGGGGCTATATAGGGGTTATATAGGGTTTTGGGGGGAATGGAAAAGAGAATGGAAACTACTACAATGGGTGTAAGTAATTTGCTTGGCAGGAGCCAATCCTTTTCCAAGACTCCATTTTCGAAAACATATCTGCCGGAAGCAGCAGCACGGTCTCCAAAGCTGAAGTGGAACAGGCAGCTATACTCGTCATTGCCTTAGACCAGTTTGTACTGAACAATTCGGGGTTTCCCAAAATTAGGTTACATGTGTTATATAGGGATATGGGGTGAGCTTACCCCAATAGTGGAGAATCAAATGGAAAATCACATGGAAACTGGTATTGTCATTAATTGTCGGGATTCGTGTTTCCAAAATTAGATTCTACCTTCCCGGGGCCGCTCACAGGGGCTATAGTATTTAAACGGCTGATTATATTGGAGTCCGCCTGTTTATGGAAATCCTGAAGATTCGAGGCCAGCGCCCATGATTTTATCTCGACCTTTCCAAGGGGGTACCAGACCATGGCACCTCGTCCTGTCACTAAGCCATTGGGTAAAGGGTTTAGGGTAAGACTTCCATCCCCCCAAAAAGGGGTTTAGGGTAAGTGGCTTTGGGCCACCAGCTGCTCTTTATCGCAACCCAACCTTCCCAGTCGCCATGATAGGCTTGATAGATCGCTATGTCAGAGCCTATCATTCTGACATTTGTAGGTGGTCCACGGGATTTCATAGGGCTTGGAAGCCCCCCGTCCACACTCAAGGGATAGCAGTCTACCCCTTCAAAGACTTACCCTATCCAAAAACAATCTAACACCTCCCCATGTTCTTAGTTTCTTCAAGAGTGCCGCTGTAATCTCATACAGGTGGATTTTGTGCGGCGGCGTTGTTTACGGTCAAGGTTTTGGAGCTGTGTACGGATTTGGGCTTGGGGGTGTTTATTGTTCTGTGTTGACAGGGCTTAGGGCTTTGGATTGTTGTTTCCTGTTTGTTAGATTGTTTACAGCTTAGTGCGTTTTGGGCAGTTTAAGGGCTCCTTGTTGTGTTAGAGCTTAAGGTCCGGGCTGTTTAGGTTTAGTGCCTTTCGCGTTAGGGTTTAGGACTTCTTGCTATTCACGGTATAGCAATCGGGCTGCATCGGGGTAGGGCTTGGTTACTTTAGGGTTTGTGGCTTAGGCTTCTTGGGGCTCATGGGCAGGCGTGGGTTGGGGTCGCTTGAGATTGTCTATGGTTTTGGCTTCTCAGACTTTGGGGTTTGGGATTCCGGGGTTTACGGCTTGGGGTGGTTCAGGTTCTGGCTGTTTGGGGTTTGCGGTTTGGTTCTTTAGGCCTCGGGGGCTTGGCTTGTTTGGAATTCAAGGCTCAGGGTCATTGTGGGGGTTGAGTTGTTCAGTTTTAGTCTTCGGTGGTTCAAAGGGTTTGTTGTTTGAGGTTTGGCTCTTTGAGCTGTCTTGGCTGCTTCGGAATGAGTGATTGAGGTTGTTGGTTTGTGTGTTTGTCGAAGGTTTAGTATTCAGGGCTATGTGGGTTCAGGCTTTGGGGTTCTCCTGAGTTTGGGGGTGTGTTATCTGATAAAAGTAGGTGGACACCAGAAATGGGGTTCATAAAATCATGTGTAAACAGCCTGACTCAAAGCGTCCTGTGGGTTTTTCCGGTATGAGCTAACAGTAGTAAACTGGCAGCAGAATCACTAGTACTTACATCTTTAAGGTTCGGAGTTTACGTATTGTGCCGTTTTGGTTGCTTGAGGACCTGCTCTTTGGGTTGTATGATAGGGGTCTATCAGCGGCCATGCACAGGGGTCCATCCACCCGGGGATGTAAATGGCTACCTAGCTTAACCAAGTATTAAACGGCCACCTGGCTTAGCTAAGTATATTCGAAGAACTAGCCACACTTGCACCGGATGGGCGCGAATCGGTATACTAAGCTGGACCGTGCTTTACTAGTCATCAACCCTTCCCCTGCTTTTGGGAGTTGCTCGCCTTCACAGTTACTGCTCTAAGGGATCAGGGCTTGTGGCTGTTTCCGTCATGCAGACGGATGGTGCGCGGCTTTCCCAGCCTTCGCTCTATTGGGCTTAGAGTTTGCTTCGGGTTTGCCTTGTTTTAACGCTTGGGTTTGTTGAGGGTTCGCTAACCATCACTCCTTTAATTTGGGTTCTCACGGTTGCTAGCTACTGCCCTTTTGGAGGATTGCAGTCTGCTATCCATCATTGGCTTTGGGGCTTAGGACTTGTTGGCCATGATCCCTGTCAGGGTTGAAGGCTTGTTCAGGCTTGGGGTTTGAGTGAAAGTTTCCTCGGAGCGTGCGACTTTTAGGGTTGTTGAGGGTCTCCATTACTTGAATCTGGGCTGTCGATCATGCCTGCTAGGTCATCATTCATACAATGGTAACCGCTCCCATTACCGTTGCCACTGCATTTTTGTATTCCATCATTTACCCCATATCACACCCATGTGTTTTGACGCTGGCAAATCCTGCGCTCAGGTAGGCGAAGCCGGGGCGCAGCTGAGTGGCGGACAGAAGCAGCGGTTGGCAATCGCTCGAGCTCTGATTAGAAAGCCTGCACCATGGCCCAAGTTCATCCTGCCCACTCTCATGAACCATTGTCTAGACTGCTAGTATCCCCCTTAATAACCCCAATACTAATCCCCTATATAATCCCCTATATAACCCCCCTTTAGGAGTTTTGACTATAGCTCTCATGGTTCTAGTATGTCCTACCTCTTGACATGACTGCGTCTGAGATCCAAGTGCAGCTGACCCATGCGTAGTAGCAATGATGCCTGTGAGGCCGTGCTTCTGTTGGATGAGGTCTCATGCGGTCTGCATGTGATGTTGTTTTGCAGGTCTTCCGTATTTGCATTTGCAGTTGCACCCGGGATCTTGGGCAGGCCACCAGCGCACTGGATTCCGCATCTGAGCGAGCCGTCCAGAAGGCGCTGGACGAACTCCTCAGCTCAGGTGGACGCACAACAATTGCAACCTGGCAGTGCATCAAGGCTTTGACAACTTTTGGCATCCGCAAGGAGAACGTGCTGAATTCTCCTGTGCTGAGGTGATTGCCCACCGCCTGTCGACAGTTCGCAACGCCCATCAAATATGTGTGCTGGAGAAGGGGAAGGTAGTGGAGCAAGGGACACATGAGGACAGCTTCATGTGCTGTGCATGCGATTGTTGCGGCTGCGGCTCACTAATCACGAGTTCTACGCAACACCGACCACATTCGACGATTGTGCTGCAGCAGGAGCTGATGTCCAAGCAAGGCGCTTATGAGAAGTTGTTGAGCCTGCAGCTGTCCGCATCAAAGGCTGGCCTTACCTCACACGGTCCTGAGTAGACAAGCAACTTCTTCAAGAAAAAACTGCAGTGGAAGAAGCTGTCAAACTCTGAGACTGCGAGGGGTGTGCAGGGCCTGAGGTTGGCTAAGAGACTCAAGGGGCAACAGGCCAAAAACGTGTGGCGCATGTCACATGCGACGAACTGGTACCCAAACCAGCTCCTTGCCGGAGCTGCTGTGCTTCGACGAATGTAAAGCTTGCAGCGAAATTGCACTCAAATTGACTCTTTGCCAACGCTGTTGTGCTTCGACGCATGTGTGCAATGAGATGGCCCCGGAGCGAGTTAAAGCCGTCTAGCCTTTGTGGAGTGTTTGCGGTACCAAAAATGGTTGTGATCACAACCAGAATAGTGAACAACTGTGTATACAAATAAATCAAAACAACAACTACTCCACTAGCCAAATGTGGACAGTCAGAGGGATGGGGTCGGGGTCGCGATGCTCGTAAACGTCCTCGCTTTTAGACCCTCCCAGAAAGAAAGTAGCAAGGAAAACAAGAAAGGAACAAATAATGTAAGTAAAAGGAAAGCAGAAAGCCGGCAAAAAAAAGGAAAGAACCAACAAAACAACAAGACATGGCCTGCAAACCCTGAGCTTTAAGAGAAAAAGTTGTCCTAAGCTCTTATAAACACTACAAGGAGATGTTGGCTGGCAAGCTCTACACCGCGTCCCCCCCACCCCTGCTTTTTTCTAAGCCATCCATGCCTGCTATAAAAATGAAGCATCATGTCATCACCATGGTTGCAGTAAGGGAAGGTTGCAAATGGAGGGAGCTGCGCGCCCCCCAACCCCGCCGCTTTCTTAAGGCCATCCATGCTTGCAATAGAAAGAAACATCATGTCACTGTCATCGCCATGTTTGCCGTAAAGGAAGATGTTGCAGATTATTCTGTTTGCAACTGCTCCCCCCATGACCTTCCACGCTTTTCGGAGAGTCCCAAAACTAAAAACAATGACAGTTACGAGGATCGCGACCCCGACCCCCGCAATCCTTTTAACTAAAAACACTTTTTAACATTCCTAGAGGATCCGAGGGTTTCACAGGGAGGTGCATTTTAGCGATATTTCTCTTTTTGCAGCAGGATTGGCCCGCACCAGCTGCTCCTAGAAGGGTGGATACCGCCCTTGCAAATGCGGCGGAGGCAGGCAGTCCCAGAAAACTCCGAACTCCTTAAAAGAGAGCCCTAGAATCCCCGTGAATGCCCTGTACATCCATAAGGGTCTCAGAAATACCCTAAAGGCCCTAAACCCTAAACCTAGAAATACCCGAGATGATGGCCAGAAACTTAACAGGCACCGAGCGCAGCGCAGAAGCTCCTGGAGGCGAAATCTGAGGAGGCCTGGCGCTAATCCACCAAGAGTCGTTATGCCTTATAGTCCCCCTTGAGTAGATAGAATATGGCTTTGGGTATATTCTAATAAGATCCCCATATACCCCATATTCTATCTACTTAAGGGAGACGATAATCCTACTCATGATGAGTTGGGAATCGATCTCTCTCTCTCTCTCTCTCTCTTGCTCCAATACGACATAGTGATCTCTGTGCTGACCTTGCACCCATCCACCCACTTATATATAACCCAAATATGAACTCCAATATGAGCCTAATATACCTCAAATATAACCCTAATCCGTATGTAGAAGGATTTCCTGAGAAAGGATCCTTCGAGCGCTGTTACAGTGCCACAAACATACTGACAGGAGACGATGAACCAGGAAGAAGGCGCTTGTCTGAGTTGCTGTTATTAAGGGGGTTTCCCACGATTAAGTGTACCATCTTGGGTGTCCCATTATAATAAGGACTATAGTATATTGGGGTCTATATTGGGGCACCCCTTTTTTGGGAAACTACCTTATTTTGCACGTAAGGGTGAGAAAGTTCGTTTGAGGTTCAAATGATGGAGGCAAGACCCAGGATGACGCAGAGGAGAAGTGCCTGAAGCTCGCAACGACCTACGAGTTCGAAAAAGATCTTGGAACAGCCTATGCGGTCAAAGAGGTGTGGAGATTGTCCAAGCAGGACTACAAGCTCTACATTATTGGGGTTGGCTTCACATTTCTGGGTTCTCAACTTACCAGCACTTGCATGCACGCAATGTGGTCAAGTATGATGAGGTGGTCCAGTGTTGCCTCCCATACAAACAGAGCTTGTACTTGAGGCTCCATGGTGATGCCTTACTTTTCTGTTCAGTTTGCACGAACCATCAACATCTTCAACCAGCCGCCAGCAGTTCTGGACCCAGCGACACACAATTGGTAGGTGCCTTACGGACTGAGCGTGGACGCGGGCAATCCAATTTAGTTTGAGGTTAGAATTGGTTCGAATTTCCTTGTTTCATTAGACCTGGTGATGAGGTATGCAGCCTACAATGAGCCTTTCATCGCCACCAACGTGAACAACCTGTGCATGCTGATGCAGGCGCTCAGTGTCTTCTGGCTGTTGCCTCTTGGATTGGCAATTCAGGGGATTTCCAACCACAGGGAGCTGCAATGAAAAGCTCAATATAGTTTACTTAAAAAGGGGCCCCTGATTTTTGGGGTGAAAAAAATTTGACAGATCCCTAGACTGCGCGTTGCATTTTTCCGGAGCCCCTGAAAAGACTATCCAAAGTTCCATTACAGAGACTCTTTCCTGCAGCATCGTGGACTTTCGCAAACTCTCCGCTAGGCGCAGGAAACTAGCAGTTTGTTTCAGTAATAGAGGCTGCAACTAATGACTCAGTTTTTTAATGAACGCCCTGATTAGTGAAGGCCTGTCCGGAGGACCTAAGTCATTCTGCTCAGGAATCGCTCCGAAGAGAGATTTACATTGTGCAAGCAGAGAGGGGAGGGGTTGGATTCTTATCGGGCGGTCGAGTTCCAAGAATGTTAAACATGACTTCAACTTGATTCCAATAAAGGTTTTGCTTAAGCTTACTGGGCCAAGAAATCAACTGGGCAGCATTTTTCATGCTAGGCGCGAGGAAGCAGCGAAACAGCCCTAACGAGGCAAGCTATCGGCGCTTCTTGGGCCTTCGCCAAAGCGGGTGAGCTGATGACCCTGCGAGTTCGTGCACGCTTCTTTGAGTCCCTCCTCCGCCAGGTCCTGTGGTGTGGGGTGGGGATCGTTGCAAGATGCTGAAAGGCAGCCCTAGTTCAGAATGCCAGGAAATCACATGGCACGACAAGCAGGGCACGGCCCATTTGCTTTGGAAGCTCGGAGCAGATGTTCCAAGCCTGAAGATGCTCGTGGGCGTCGCTTGACGGATTCCACAGGAATATTCCGGGATGTCACGTAAGGCTTAGCAGCTTAGCACGCTGTAAAAATATGCTGTAGATGGGATCCTGGGCTGCTCAAGATGAGTCCCGTCGTGCTACTGCATGTGGTGTGACACTTCCTGAAATCATTCTTGAGGCCAACATCGCTGCTGCCGCCAATTTTGCGTTCACAACCATCATCGGGGTTTCAGTCGCGTTGTATTTCAGCTGGCGCTTTTGCTTGTGCATTTTTATTCTCATGCCGTTGATGGGGGTTAGCGCCATTGGCGTTGGACTGAACATGCGCAAGATCGATGGGGACTACTCCAGCGGTGTCGTGTCTGAGGCTGTGAATTGCGTGAAAACTGTGACAGCCTTTGGTTTGCAAGGCCGACTCATGGAGAAGTATGAATCCAGACTTGAGAGCCACATGGAAGACGAGCAACGAATCCGCCGAGTCTCGGCCCTGGGGACTGGAGTCGCCTCTGCAGGGGTTTTCATGATCCTGGCGATGGCAGTCTTCGGCATCAACATGTTCATTTCCCGTGGCCTGATGCAGGTGGACATTGCCACGGTGGTTATCATGGTCCTGGTCACGACTGTCAGTGCCTTTGGCGAGCTCGCGCGCTTGATCACGGACACCAGCTTGCCGCAGGAGTCGGCGAGACGGATATTCAATATTATTGCAAGAAGGTCCAAGATTGACCCATTTTCAGACGAGGGCTTGAAGCTGGACAAAGTGAGTGGCAAGGTGGAGTTCCGCCAGGTGTATTTCCGCTATGCCACGCGGCCAAACCTTGCAGTGTTCAACGGACTCAGCCTCACGATAGAACCATGCACGACAACAGCATTTGTTGGACCTAGTGGCTGTGGCAAGAGCACGGCCGTGGCCTGGCTGCTTATTCTCTTCTCCCGTGTGATACCGTCACGGTTCATGAACATTTGTCCCTGAGGTCGGCCTCTTGCAGCGGTTTTACGATCCTCAAGGCCAAAGCATTTTCAGCAATGCTCAAAGACTCTACTGCTTGTCCTTGCTTTGAGCTTGACATGTGTCCGCCATGTATGTACTAGTAAGAAAACGTTGCTCAGATAACCCAAGGTGGATGCATTCTTCTGGATGATCATAATGTGCGCGACCTGAACCTGCAGTGGCTTCGAGCGCAGATGACGCCAGGCTGAGAAGCATTCGTAATTTGTTGGTCTTGGGTGCGGGAAGCTTATGTGCCTTTGTATTATGCTCCTGGTTGGTGGGGACTCGCCTAGACAGACCCAGCCATGCTCTACCCACCAAGGAGCATGGTGCAGCAAGAGCCGATTTTGTTTTCACGGAGCATTCTTGACAACATACGTTACGGCCAGCAGGACCGCGGGATCATTACGCCAAGTTCCAGCGCATCCATGCTCGCATATGCCTCAAGCTGCTATGCAAGGACGCTACGATGGAGGAGGTTGAAGCTGCTGCTAAAGCGGCCAATGCTAGTGACTTCTTGAACGCCATGCCACAGGCTGTGCTTCGAGTTTCAAAGTGTATCTGCTCTCTAGACGGATGACATACGCCACAAGCAATCGACGGTGCTCACTCTCTGTGAGACTCTCTGCCTGCCTCCGCTCACTCTCACACGCTTGCTCTTTCCGCGTCACGAATCTTACTTGGGGCTTTCGGCAGGGCATGCACCTAGAGCTGCGAGGGCCCCGGTCTCTTAAGGGGGCAGCCAGCGCTGCTCGCGCAGCTTCTGAGGCAGAGCAGGCGACCAGGTCCACGGTCAGACTATAACTGGATGATGGTAATTCAGATGGTTGTTCCTTTTACCGATTCTTCGCTCAAAATCCCATGGGGTTGTGTTCTTGTTTAGGTTCTTTCCAAGAGGATACAGCCCTGATGAAGGAAAGGTATGGCCTCGACTGATAAGAAAAGATGCGTAGAGAATGACTGACTCATCTCTAGCAGGTGCACCAGGTAAAAGCCAAATCAAATTACAAACGCTGGCCTCGCCCCAAAATCGTGAAGCTGTCGTTTGTCATGCGATGGACTCTGAGTGAAAAGGGGGGGAACAGGCTCCGTGACAGAGAGCTTTGTATAGCCATAGCCCTGCAAGAAAGAAAGCCTAGCGTAGCCGGAAGAAGAAGAATAGCGTTGTTCGGTGCCGCAAGCACTGTGGGGCTGCGTTTTCAGGTGTTTTTGCAGCTCTGCTGGCAGTTTGGGTGAGAAACGTGGGTGCGCGATGCTGCTGATGCTGGGCTTGTTTCTTTCCCTCAAATCGTTGGGGGAGGAACTGGGGATCTGTGGTGCTGCTGATGCCCCGGTGTGATGCTTGCTGTTTCCTCCGCGCGTCGATCCCTTGTTTTGGAGCCGTGCAACAGGAAACCCGCTGCGAGCATTGCCTCTGTGTGGGGGTAGGAGTTCCACAGGAAGGTTGGACTTTCTTTTATTTCTATGTCCGCGCACCCAACAATAAGCTCCCTCTCAGGTCCCACGGTCATGAGGGCTCTGGGGATTGATTGAAAAGGGATAGTGTGGATTCTGGTTTGGATTTTGCTGGGACACAAAGGCTGTGAATCAAAAACACGGGGTTTGTAACAGGCTTGGGCGGCCATTCCCCGACATAGGTTTGNNGTTTGTAACAGAATCTCCTGGCTTGCGACAAGCACCTTTGCGACAAGATTCTTTTGTCGGGCATGCCTGCGCCAAGCATTCGCGACAAAGGTATGTAACACCAGGCCACGACAAAGAGGTATGTAACAGGGGGTGGGGGTGGGGGTTCGCGACAAAATGGGCTTTGATTCACAGCCTAGTGACGCCAAAATATTTAAAACAAAAAAAACGCTTGGAGCACCTCTTCAATAAACAGGGTCCAACATAAGAAGGGGCCATGCTTCAAGAGACTCAGGGAAGTGGGTGCGCATTGAAACTGCCGCTCCTCGCTGCATCGCATCGATTTCTGTGCTTTATAAAAAAAAGTGGTGCAGCTGGACGGTTGCTCACCTGAAGCCAAAAGTTTGGAGTCTAGAATCCTTGGATGAAATAACGAAGGGCAAAGACAAAGGGCCTCTCTCAAAAGCATGAACCTCAGCCTCGCGAATCATCATAAGGCTAAGGCTTTTGAGCAGGAGCCCTTGATGGTAACGAATGGCAATGACTGCTTTGCTAGGTCTTTGGAAGGGGGAACCCCAGCCTTTTGATCTAGATATGTTTTGGATCCAATGGGCTCCTGAGAGGATGGGAGGTATCACGAAGCAGTCGGGGAATCCTAAATGGCTCAAGAAGACTTGACATCAAAGAAGCGGGCACACATCTTGACAAGTTGTGTCAGTGTGGCTGCCTCAAGATTTTGAGGATTCCCGTAACTGCGGGAAACTGCACGCTTGCACGCTGACAGCTGGCAGGGCTTCAGCACACAGGCAGGTCATCGAGGTGCACAGCTCAGCGGTGGACAGTGCCTGGGCTTACAAGTCTCAACTTGAGACACCTGACAGAGAACCGTGACTGGACGCGCTTAAGCCTAGGAAGCAGCGCATTGCAATTGCGCGTGCGTTGCTGCGCGACCCCGCGGCTGCCTGGCACGTTTCTTGAAACTGTAGCTGCTGTGGAGGCTTGTTCGCAGACGCGCTCAGGTTCTTCTCCTCGATGAAGCCACCAGTTCGTTGGATGCTGTGAGCGAGCGTCTAGTTCAAGATGCTTTGGACCGGCTTCTTGACCCAAGCCTTGCCCCTCGTGCCCTTCCAGGGTGCTGTCAGCTGAGGCTGGTTAGGTCGAAGCCTCGTACAACCATCATCATCGCGCACAGGTCTCCTCCTTGCAGACATGCTAAGAGGGGCGTGAACTGGGTTTGAAAGTTTGACTTGAGTAGTCGTTGTTCTGCCGCCCTTGCCATGAGGTTGTCGACGGTGCGCAGCGCTGATCAGATCTGTGTGTTCAACCATGGTCAGATCGTGGAAAAGGGCAAGCATGCAGCTTCCTTACCGTAGAAATCCATTGCACCTTGTGGGTTAGCCTGATGGATGCCTGCTGCAAGCTCCCATTCTGAGGAACAGCTAATGGATTTGGATGGTCACTACTCCAGGTTAGTGTCAGCTCAACAGTGCCCTTATCGCACATTGGCATGGGCATGTTCTGTGGCCACTTGCCTCGCAGACACGCCTTTGACCCCTCACGTGTTTACCTCAGCATCTCAGGATCTCGGTGTGAGAGTCCTGAGAAGCTTGCAAAGCTCATGAAGAGCTTGCCTAAATTTGCAATACCTTAGCTCAGTGCACGCTCAAAACTAGACTTGTGGAATGTTCGACAGACCCTGCATGTAGACCAAAAGAAGTCTTAGATACCAGCACATGGCTGATGCAAAAAGTTGACAGCGAGAGATGTGGCAGGGGCTCGGAGGACAACGAACCATTAACCGTCATTAACCCTTTGTTAACAACTATTTCTCATTATTACCTCTCCTATTAATTAAGACTGTCCTCGAGGCGCAGCAGTACGCCGCCAGGCAGGCACCCTCGGATGTGAGGACTGACATCGGTACCGGCTGGTGATTCGTCAAACTTGGGCTCTAGTCTACAGTCCGCCTTTGAGCCTAGCATGACCCGATCTCGACATGACGAGCCAAGTTTTTTCCTGAATCTATGACATAGCGGCAATCAACAAAATCACGGCGCCCGCACCGCAAGCACTTCACAGCTTGCAACCACTGGTTTACAGCCTGCAGCCGCTTGATCACTTGCTGAGCGTTTAGAGTCGGCAGTCCGGAATGGTACGTCACAGAGCATCAAGCGTCAGCTTGTAAATGCCCATGAGATCCCATGAGCAATCCGGCTTGCTCATTTGGCCAGTCGGAGCCTCCGTTGACTGGCTAGTGTCACCTGATGTTTAAAAGATATCAACGTCATTGATGGATGAACTTGAGGTGAAGGGCTGTCATGTTGCAAAGCTGATGACATATGATAGGATGAAGCGAACCCGAAGGCGCTAAACTTCAGTGCTGACGTTGCTCTTGTTTCCAGCAGCTCTGTTGGACTTTGGGTCTCTCGGAGCCCTAGCCATGCAAGTGCAGCCTTGGTATGGAAAGCCATGGCCATCTTCCTTCCCTGCTATATCCCCTGTTCATCATCGAGATCTCAGCCAGCTGCATCGGTGTCCGTGCTGCTCTTGCTCCAAGTGACTGAAGTCACGTGCCAGCCGCATTGGTGTCTGTGCTGTTCCTGCTCCAAGTGATTGAAGTCACGCTGGCGAGCCCTGCTGGAAAGTGATTGCATGATGACAACGCGTGTCTTCCGTATGAATAAGACTGAGCTAGAGAAGGTGGCAAGTTCCCTGGCGATGTTTGGGTCCCGACCGTCCTTGAAGATTCGGGCTGTGCGCTTACCGTCGGGGAAGTGAATTCTGCTGTTCTTGAGCGTTCTGTTCTGTAGTTGCTTGTATTTGCATGTATTTCATGTCCGAATAGTCTGGCTTTATGACCTACGAGTGCTCTCAGAACCCTGTGCCCAAACAGCTGGTGCGGGAGACTCCTGCTAGCTTCTCTGTTTTCTTCTGTCTTTAGTTGACATTTTGGATAGTTGAAGGTTTCTTGGATGTTGTATCTTGTTGTTGTCCATGTAATTATCAGGAGTGGCCTGCGCTGTAGCGTGAATTCATTTCGGTTTTTGAAGTGTGGTGCTCGTGATGAGTGGAATGTCAGTTGGACTCAGGCTACCCTGCATGCGTCGCAGCCAGGCGGTAGGGAAAAGAAAAAATTGGTGAGGTGCAGCTGCTATTATACATCCCACTCATTGATCAGTGGTTATAGCTTGCGGAGCCAAGCCTTCCGCAACACCTAAGATTTCCAGCACTTCGATGCCTGACCTACACTTCGCAGCAACTCCCCAAGACCTCCCGCGGCAAGAATCGTCAAAAGGACCTCCGTAACTGCGGAGGCTGGGAATCCTTCTGGGAGTTGCAATGACAAGGATAGTGTGGAAGTACCCATGGACCAGAATTGACCACCAGAGCACCCGTCGAAAGTCCTGCGCAGGCCAGCGTTTCGTAATGTTTTGTGCTCAAAAGTGGCGTGCAGTCCACAAATTGCGCGCCTGCCAGCGCGTACATTTGGGTGGTTGTCAAAATGATGTACCCTTTTTGGGTACCCTAAATAGTAGGTGCCGTATAGGGATCCAAAAAGGGACCATAATTTTGACAACCACCCACTTGGGGTAGAGGGATTCCTAACGTTCATCCGAGAAGTTCATCCCCAAGAGCATGCGGAGGCATATCAGCCGTGCCGCAGTTGTCCGCGCAGACATTTGGTAGTTTCCCAAAATGGGGGTGCCCCAATATAGACCCTAATATACTATAGTCCATGTTATGGGGACCCCCAAAAAGGTACCCTTAATTTTGAGAAACCCCCATTTCAAGATATTGGGAAAACGCCGCAATCCCATGGCCACCATGCAGTCAGCGTAACCAACACGCCACCGGTTCTTAGTAGGGAGTAGGAGAATATGATCGCTAAGAACCAGTAAGTCAATAGTCTAGTAGGTCAATATTATTTCAATAGGTGTGGGACAGGTGCCATTTGGATCGCAGTTTGCTTAAGAAGGCGAGCTGGATAAAACAGGGGTTTGCCGTCAGCTGCTGGCAAATCACTGCTCTTTACGGTGCTTGTGTCCTCTTCCCTGCCCTCTGGAAGCATGTCAAGATGCCCGGTCGGAGCGTTTAGGGATTGTGGTCAAGCCTCAAGAGCACAGGGTTTAGGGTTCAGGGACGGTTTGGGGTTTTAGGGCTATTGGCCAGCTTGTTGTGAGCTTTGCATCACACAATGCAATGCGTACATGCACACAGCTTCTGTCTTACTGGAGGAATGGAGCCCTTAAGGATCCCGTAGAATGGTCCCTATACCTCGATTTCCCGCTCATCACCACCAGCAATCACAAAGTTTTTTGTGGCAGATAGCCAGGTTTGAGCCTCTTGAAAGGTCATTGGCCAGTCTCCTTTGAAAAAGCACAACATTCCTCTTTTTCGGAGCTGCCCAAGTCTGAGCCAGAAGCCAGTTTATACTGCAGAAATGGGGGGTCTGCTTTAAATGTGGCAAAGAGTCTGCCTAAACAAGTCCAGCGTACATGTGTTTGTCGAACTGAAGTGTCAATGTGCACTGCGCACTTGCCTTCCTTGATGCTCTTGATCAGGAGGTTCTATCCAGAGCCACAGAAGGGGCTGTTGCTGCAGCCCCTTGGCATGCATTAGTGAGGAAACATGTTTTCCAGCCGCGGCTACATTGACTACAAAAGTAGTTTCCATTTTAGTTTCCATAACCCCAATATAACCCCAATATAACAATAATATTACCCCAATGGGGACTAGAAGATAGGATGGCCCACTCGGCGTGCTGGATCAAGGCCCGTGTATCCATTGCACGACCTGCAAAAGCAGCCCTGGCCGCCAGCTTACGCTAACTATGTCGTAGCTGTCACTGTTGGGATATGCTTGTTCTGTTCAAGTTTGAGTGTCAGCTTTGATATCGCTGCTGGCAACCCAGTGTCCAGAATGCCTGAGGTACCCAGGCAGTGACATCCCAATCGGACAGATGTCCGCAGATCAGGCTGAACCAGAACCGGAGGCGTTGCTAATCTCTAGGCAGCCTACTTATAGTCCCCCTTAAGTAGATAGAACATGGGGTATATGGGGATCTTATTATAATACACCTAAAACCATATTCTATGTACTTAGGGGGGGCTATAATCTCTAGGCTTTCAGCTGAGGAAGGTGTTCTGCAATATTGTGGTGCCACGCAATTGTTTGCATGAAGCCTCATCCATCGCAGCCATAGCCACAGCCATTCAACGAAGGGTTGCCTGTTGCTTGATGCTTTAGCACATGGGTTGTTTATTTGTTGGGCCACTAGGGGTTGTGCATTATATTGCGGTACTTAATATTTAGGGTTACCAAAATGGGACCCTAATTTTGGGAACTACCCACATAGGGGAAGAATTCACAGGGTTCACCAGCGCCAGTGACCGTCCAGGGCAGTGCTGGCTCCAGCTAAAGCCGGCGGCAGCGTTGTTCGCCCTCAACCCTAAACCCTATTAGGGTTTGCTAATTTTCCATTCCTTGCACCTCTCGCAGCGCTGCAATGGTAACAAACGCCAGCCCCTCAGCCCGTTTTACCATGAGTCTGAAGGCAGGGCTTAGAGAGAGAGAGGGAGATGTGCATATATAGATATACTACACACACATATACATATATACATACTATAACCCCTACACCCCTATATACCCCCAGTGTTCAGGGTTTAGGACCATGGCCAGCTGTGCTTATTCAACGCAGGTCGAACATGCCGACCTGGAGGCTCTGTTTGAGCAGCTTGGTGATCCCTAAAGAAGAAGGGAAAACAATCGCTGTATAATCCCTACTGTATACGGTAGTTTCCCAAGATAGGGGGACCCAATATAGACCCCACAATATTATGATCCTTCTTATAGGGACCCCAAAAAAAGGTACCCCACAATTTTGCCAAACCCCCATAGCATATGCCCTGATTCCCTTTGTAATCCCCAGTAAGGCAAAAGCATGAAGAGCTCATGTGTCGTTTCGAAGAGCTGCTGGGCATATTAGGGTTCAGGGTTTAGGGTTCAATAAATAACGGAGAAGCAGTAAATAGAAAATCAAGTGGACAATGGAATGGGAACTACATGAAACTACCATATGTAGGGTTTTATGGAGAGAGGGATATTACCCCCACTAGTGGAGAATCAAGTGGAAAATAACATGAAAGCTACCATGTACAAGCGGTAATCTGGGGATACTAAAGGGTTTAAGGATATTACCCCAATAATGGAGAATCATCGGAAAGTGAAATCGCAACTACCATATATACAATGTACCAGCTGCGCAACGCCAGCTTGGAGCCCGCCGTTGCTGTCATCAACCTGTGGTTTCCGCTGTCCATGCAGTGCTTACAGGAGAGCAGTCCAGGGACCTAGTATTTTCATCTCATTGTCCATTGTCTTTTCCACTTGACTCTCCATTATTGGGGTAGTATACCCAAGCTCTCTAACCCTCTATATGGTAGTTTCCATTTCATTGTCCATTCTATTCGCCATTTGATTCACTATCATTTAGGTCATATCCCTCAACCCTAAACCCTAAAACCCTAAACCCTAAATCCTAAAACCCTAAACGCTAAGCCCTATTCGAGCAACTCAGGCTCCTGAGTCATTGGCTGAGACCAGAGGAGATCAGGCATGAGAAGCTTCCAGAAAAGCTGCCGGAGCCGCTTGGATTAGGGTTTGGGGATCAGGGTTTAGGGATCAGGGTTTAGGGATCAGGGTTTAGGGATTAGGGTTTCGGGTTTTAGGGGTCAGGGTTCAGGGATAAGGGTTTAGGGTTTTCAGTCCCCTCCCCAAAAAAGGGGCAGAAAGGAGAATCAAGTGGAAAAGAACGAGCTGGAAGCGACTATTTAAGGTTTAGGGTTGAGGGGATACAACCCCCCCAACAATGGAGATTCAAATAGATAAGAACATTCAAGATGAAATGGAAACCCTAGGTCCTATTCAATGATGGGTTATTATGGGTTGCATGCATGGCTGTGTTTTCCTTGGCAGCTTGTGCAGTTGTATGCAACTCCTTTGGTTATTATGTAGGAATACAGCATGGTTTAGGGATATCCTCAATAATGGCAAATCGAATGGGAAAGAAAATGGGAAATGAAATGGGAAATGAAATGGAAGCTATTACTTAGAACTTAGGGCAAATCAAATGGAAAAGAGACCGGAAGATTAAATCCAATAATGCAATTGAGCTTATGTAGGCAAACTGGCTACGGCTAAGGTCGATTTGCCATCCGGTTTTCATTTTGTGTATGTATGACCCCATTCAGATAGTCAAGCGATTGGCTCAGGGAAATTAATTGCTTCCCCTAACAATTAACGTTGCAAAATTGATTCTTCTAGCGGGCAGGGGGTTTATCCCCCAAAGCCCAGATTTCTTGATAAAGTCAATCAGTCTAAACCTTGGAAGCTCATGGTCATTCGTTGCAACCTATTTGACCTCTTTTAACAGCAGTCTTGCCTTTTTAAAAGCAGTCTTCCAGGATTTGGGTTCTTCTGGAGAGGACTTTATCCTTAGGCGGGGATTACGAGGGAGGTGGGAGTATTATGTAGTGAGGCAACTGGTCGCAAGCGATGCGGCGCTGCAGCATGAGAGCCTGGTTACATCTGGCCGGGAGAATCATCTCTTTGACCTGGATCGCTCAAAGTCACACGAGATAGCCAGAGTACAGCTGTCCCTGCAACAGAAGTTGCAGACTCAGCCTGCAGTGAAGTCAATGGTGAGTCTGCCGTTGCCGCCAGAACCCGTCGATGAGGTGATGGCAAGGTCCCGTTTCGAGCAGTGCGTGAAATCATGGAGGTTTGAGTCATTTTTCGCAACCGTGCTTGTCAGCAACGCGATTTTTCTTGGCATTCAGACACAGTACACCTCCATGCACCTGCAAGAGGATCTGCCCAACTCTTTCCTAGTGTTGCAAGTGTGCTACGCTGTTTTATTCATTTTGGAAATCCTGCTTCGACTGGCCGCGTGGGGTCCGAGAGGCTTTTTCTGTGCTTCCGACTGGGCGTGGCATTTGTTGGACATACTCGTGTCTGGCACTGCAGTCTTGGATTTGGCAGCTGTGGTGGCCGGCATTGAGGCAAAACCGTCTTCTTCCAGCAGCGGTTTCCGTCTGCTACGAATAATGAAGATTGCTCGCTTAGCGCGCGCTATACGTATGGTTAAAGTCCTGCGTTTCATTCGGGCCCTGCGGGTGCTCGTTTTTTCGATTCTGCACACACTCAGATCCTTGGTGTGGTCTCTTGTTCTGCTCCTCGTTATTATATATGCCTTCAGCACACTTTTCAGCGACGCTGCAGTAGACCATGCGCTGGAAAACGGCCTCGTGGAGATGCTTGCTAGCAGAAGCCTAGAAACGCAGAGCTACAGACATTACGTGAAGTCATCTTCTCTCACTTGAGTTTTTAGTCGCTCTTCTGAAAGTACGCTGAGTCAACCAGGGCGTCATCCAAGGAGTTCCGATGCCATGGTGCCCATTATGGTTCACTTCGGGTCGCCGATGCGGTCAATGAATACTCTTTTCAGAGCCATCTCTGGCGGTGTAACCTGGGAAGGTCCTGCAAATGCTTTGTACGACATTGGCTGGGAATGGGTGTTCATCTTCACGTTTTACGTGGCATTTTGCTGCTTTGCTGCCTCTTGGATTTCCAATTTGGAGTCTTTGTTTCAGCCAGCCCTCCCTTCTGGCATGTTACGTCGTTTAGCCATGTCCAGTCTAAAGTCAGGATAACAGCTCAAATCCTTCAGTCAGAGAAGAAACATCCCGTGGCAAGTCCGAGTCTCTGAGTGCCGCAACTGAATTGGTTGCTGTGGACCTTAGGTGTTGAATGTTATGGTCCATGCCTCAATTGGCGTGTGCTCATCTATTCGTTTGTGTCTGCAGCATTGCCCGTGGCATACTGCCTGGCAGTACTGGAGTTTTCAGTTTTCAGTATACAGCAATTGCGCAAGGTCGGGGTGTTCTGTCACTCTGCCATCACCGGTGCTGAGAAAGACCAAGATCTCCTGGTGCAATCGTTGCTGCAGGAGAAGGAGACCTTTCGAGAACGACTCCTGCAGTTATTCAAGACGTTTGATGATGATGGCAATGGCATCATCACACTGTTCGAATTTGAGACTAGGTTCCAAGATGAGTCTGTGCGCGCTCTATTTGTCGTGAAGCTCGGGGGGCGGACAAACCGGAGGCCAAGGCGAAGCCCGAGGAGGACAAGGATGGAGAGCCGCCGGCCAAGAAGCCGGCAGTGGCGCGGCCGCAGCGGGCAGTTCCGGAGGGCGCCTCGGTGGGCAAGGTGGACGGCGACGGCAACTGCTTCTTTACTGTGGTGGGCCTGGGCTTGGGGCGGCTGCGCGGCGCACCGGCGTTGCAGGCAACGCGCATCAGGGCCGAGGTCATAGCCCATATGCGGAAGCACAGGTCCACCTATGAGGCCTTCTGGGATGGCAAGGATTCCATTGGCGGCAAGCTGACGGACTTTGAGGACTACCTCAAGCACATGTCCGAGAATGGCAAATGGGCGGGCAGCTTGGAGGCGTACGCTGCGGCGAAGACTTACAAGATCGCGGTCTACGTCATCCCCACTTTGACTGGCTCCACCCGACTACGGGCAACGAGCTGCCGGACACCGTCACGGGCATGGCCGAAAGCAAGCAGCCGGGCGACTTTCCCAGAGGAGGAGGCCGAGACGGGCAGGACGAGGGACGTTCCGAAGCCACGCTTTTCACCCAGGTTGCCGAGCACAAGGGCGAGCACGACAAGGTGGATGACGCGGCTTCTTGTGGCCAGGCCACGGTCTTCACTGCGATCGCGGCGCCCAAACAGGCGGATCGACCCAGCTCCGGTGGAGGCAAGGGCGGCGGCGCCAAGCCGGGATCCAGGAGGGCATCTTTGAAGCGGCCACTGGGCCTGGAAGGCAGGGCAACGCTCATCGACATGTGGGCGGCCAAGACGCGGAAGCTTCGAGAGGAGTTTGCCAAGGCAGGGCCAGATGGCGAGGGCGGACACAGTGCGGAGGGCAATGACCACCCCAACATTGCTGCGGAGGTTGCGACCGAGGCTACCCAGGACTGCGACTTTGCGGGTCGAGGACGACAGGGACGAGCCTGCGGATGCGCCGCCACCGGCCCCGCAAGGACGACGACGGGCCACGTCAGCCGCCCGCTGCAGCAATGGGCACGTGGTGGTTCGTGATGCAGTGCCCTGAGTGTGGATGGGACACCGGCAAGGTGGCGAACTGGGGGGTCCTGAAGGGCGAGCACATCCGCAAGCACCACCCGGACATGGCGGCGGCTTTGGGCAGACCGGAGCGGAGATGTTGCATGGTCCCATGGGCCCCGGCTGTGTGTGGAAGTGCTCCATTGAGGGGTGCAACATGGGACTCAAGGATGCGGGCTCGAGCGGGCAGCACCGGCACCATGTCCGCATGCAGCACAGGGCGACTGACCACCCGGACGCGGCCAAGGACCTCTTCTACCTGCCGGGCGATGCCACCAACGTTGCCAAGGCTTCCGTGGCTTGTTCTAACAGGGGGGCGGCTGCCAGGGTGCTTGGCTTGGGCTTGGCACGCAGGGGTGGCCACGATCCTGTCTGGCTTTCGTACCCCATTCCACCTCCAGTGGGCGAGCGCAAGAAGGCTTGGAAGGAGACTTTGGTCCACCGCATTTTCTGCAAGGACTGCTGCAACTTGGTCCGAACAGCGGACGACCTGGCGGCTCGGGACTGTGTGCCTGGCTATGTGGTCCCCACTGTGCGGAAGATGCTGCGGAGGATCAAGGCCAGACTCGAGGAGAAGAACGTCGCCGAGCACATCGCCAAAGCGGCCCGGGGAGACGGTTTGTGTGCTTGAGGCGGCTTTCGCGGAGGAGGCCGAGGCGGGCAAGGAGCACGAGATCCTGGCGGTGGCTTGGCCGGGGGACACTTGGACGGTGAAGTTCCTCTGTGGGCGCTGTGGTTGGCTGGCGGACGAGGAGACCGGCGTCAACCGCTCGTGCAGCAAGCTGGGGCGGAGGCGCCCGACACAGGCGGTGGAGCAGCTCCGCGAGGTTGCCCAGGAGGAAGAGGGCCCCCGACCACGCGCGGCTCGCATCATCCTGGATGCCCTCGGCTTCAAGCATGAGACGGGCAACCCGGCGGAGGAGCAGCGGAGCCTGGCGAGAGGACTGGGGCGGGGGCAGACGGAGCCATGAAGGAGTCGCAGACACTGAGGGTGGGAACTTTGAATGTCCGGACTCTCACGGGCAAGATTGGGGCGGTTGCCGCTCTGGCGACGGAGGCGGGAGTGAATGTCCTAGCCATGCAGGAAACGCGGCTGGCTTCGGATGCAGCACGTTCTTCTACTTCGGCTTTCCGGGCGGCGGGCTGGACTTTGCATCAAGGACCTCAAGGGCGAGACGGGCGGGGGGCGGCGTCAGCAGGCGTGGCCATCATCACGGACGTGCCGGCCCAGCAAGTGGAGATGCCACAGGCCTTGTTGGCTTACGACGGCTGCGTGGTGGCACTGAAAGTGGGACGAAAGGGCCTCCGACCGCTCCCACATCGCGCAGGAGGCCATCCAGTGGGCGCGCGACACGGGCGAGGACTTCGTGATGCTGAACAAATAGAACCGGACTGAGGACTCCTACCCCTTGGCCGGCCTCCTGGCTAGGGGGGCTGTCTGGACTATGGACGGCGACCAGCTTCTTCGGGCGGGCACATACCGGCGCTCGGGGCACCTGTCTACTCACATTGACTTTGGCCTGGCTTCGCTGCGGCTTTTGGTGGAGGACAGGGCGCAACTCCTGGCGTTGCGGGCGTTGCGGACCATGATCTTGTCACGTACCGGCTCCGAGCTTACCCGGAGGAGGACATTCGGCGATGGCAGCCACAACGCTGGTTGGTGGCGACGGAGCCGGCTGACTGGGAGGCGGGCTGGGCCGACTACGCGGCGGACTTTGACGCGGCGGTGATGGCCTTCGACTTGAACCGGGCGTGGCAGTTGTTGTCCCAGGGCGGAGAACGTCATGGCGGATGAGCAAGCTCGACCAGCTCGGCCCCGTGCGCTACCAGGCCGACCAGTCATACAAGAGCGGCGCCAGACCCGTACCAGACGCTGCTTGAGAGGAGGCTGAGGCGAGTGGCACGGCGGGCGTCGGAGGCGCCCAAGAATGGCGATGCCAGACTTCGAGCAAAGCTGACCCGCGACCTCGACGAGCTGGCGGACATTTTCCCTGACTTGCCGCGGGCGATGGGCTTCGATGACGTCGCCGACTACTTGAACAGCAAGGCTGAGGAGGAGGCGCAGCGTGCCCGTGCGGCGCGCATCCGCAGGTGGAAGCACGACATTCAGGAGGACGTCGGTGCCATGGCCAGGATCACGGCTAAGGTCACCACTGAGGCGTGCGACGTGAGCCAGTTGGGCGAGTGTCCGAGCAAGGGCGCAGCGGCTGAGCGCTTGAAGGCTTCTTTGGACCAACTTTGGGGTGAGGCGGCCGACTTTGACACGGACCGCCTGCGTGGCTTTCTGGACACCTTGGGGCCAGCTAATCCGGCGGCTGTGCGCGAAGTCCACTTCGACGGCCATCTCCTGAGGAGGCGGGCGCGGAAGGCAAAGCGCAAGGCGGGCGGGCTAGATGGCTGGACAGGCGAGTTGGTGGCGGCTCTTCCCCTGGACTTCTTTGACAAGCTGGCGAGGATTTGGACCGCCATTGCCAAGAAGGGCAAGCTACCTCTTGGTTGGAAGCAGGTCAGGGTGGCGGGCATTCCCAAACCCGATGGAGGACTTCGACCGCTGGCGTTGACTCAGTTGGCTTGGCGGTTGGGGGCATCCGAGATGTTGGCGCAGCTGCGGCCTTGGTTCTGTGCATGGATGCCGGAGTGTCTTCATGGCGGGCTACCCGGACGATCTGTCGATGCCATCCACGAGCAACTTGGCTGCCTCTTGGACAAGCGTGCGGTGAAGCGCACCTTTGTGGGCTGCACCCTGAGGCTCCAAAAGGTGTAA